AATTTCTTAGAAAGTCTTGCATTTTGAACCAGTGGGAGTAACAACTAGTAATACTAGTTGCTGTTGACCTGGACTTTGGAAATTCCTTCTTACCAACCCTGTCATATTAACTTTTTTTCACATAATTTTAAATAAAACACTAATTAGTAAACACTTTAGTTTAATATATTTATTAAAAAATTATTATTTTTTGAGATGAAATTGAAAGAAGACAAACTTAAAGATATAACAATTCATAGAGGATATAAGAACCAACAAATTAATCACATTTATATTATAGTTTAATAACTAAATTGAGATGAGTGTTATAAAATGTGTTGAATTGAATATGTATTAATAATTTTCCTTTCAATATTATTTTTATAGCATATGACTAGCATTTGAAATTTTTTTTAGCTCTATATGTAATTCTCATTGAATAATTTTATTTGAAAAAAAAATTATTTTTTGCATTTTATATACAATATAAAAGCATCATTAAAAATTATGTGTAAAAAGTCAATGTGATAACTAAAAGTCTTTTGTTTACCGGAAATATAATTTTTTAATTTAATTCAAGCAAAGTCTTTTGTTTGGCTAGAAGGGAAATTGAAGGGGACTTTGATTTCTTTGACCGATTGGATCCAATTTCCGTCCCCGTGTGTGGAAGAAATCAAGAGAATTGCCTGTAACAAATGTTAGCGATAAGTTAAGACTTTGGAAGTTCTTAATTTGTTTCTGAACTATATAGGCTTCTAAGGGTGGGTCATCATCGTCTCTTGTATGTAAACGTTGGAGTAAATGCTTGTACACTCATGAATAAAATTTATTTGTTGATAAAAAAAAAATAAACAGAATATAAGTGATAATTTAACCCACATAAATTTTATCTCACACCTTAAAACCAAGTGAAAACACATGCAAACAAAAGCAACAAACACCTCAAAAACAGTACAAAGCACCGATGCAAACACAAAAGTTTCATACACACTACATATGTTTAGAAAAAAAAAATTATTAGTATACTCTCTGATTCTACACATTAACCAACATTCATTAGTTCAGTCATTAAAATCAAAATTTTCTTACTTTAAACTCAAATTTAAAAATAATAAATTTTTAATAAATATATTATAAAATATGTTGAATTAAAAAGTATACTAATAATTATCTTTAGAAAAAAAAAACTAGCCTATAAGCCTTTATATATAATCCAAGGCAAGTTTTTGATTGCAGTGTGTGCATCATCGGTGCATGCCATTAGGGTTTCCACAATTGAGAGCTTTGGGGTACTCGAACCCTTACCCAATTATATTGTTAACAATACATCTAGCAAATCTATCTCACAATAGGCATGCATATTTTAAGTGCATTTAGAATAACTAAACTCTATGCCCTGCAACCTGACAAGTATTAACTTAAGTCATATGTGTGCTGGAAACTTTATTCAAGCATCAATCTCCTCCTGCACCTTTACGAGTACTATCTATCTCTGATCGCTTGGCACCAATATCTCCCAATTCTAGTGGCCTTCCAATTCAATTGTTTTCACAATTGAGAGCTATAAGGGTGTGAAGTCCATTGGCCAAGAATATCGTCCATGGGTGGAATTCCAGTGGCACAAGGGGTTTGATGGTTATGTACCCCTTCATAAGTTGTTATGACAAACCGTGAGTCTTCTCTATCTCGTTCCACTCTTTTCTTCACATTGCAACCATCACATGAACACTTGTAGTAATGCCTGCTTATTTCAAGGTAATACAGAAGTAGCAACTCAAACGAAATCATATGCTTAAAATGTCCATTCAACAAATAGCTAGCAACCATCTAATATCTAGGTAGAAGATCAAAAACTGTAAACACCCAATTTGCAAGAGGGAAAAAAATTACTAGACTAAATATCTTATATGAAAATTTCTTTAAGTGTATATGAGTTGTTTAATTTGGAAACTAAATATGATGAGGTTATTATTTTATCTTTTTCCTGATAAAAAAATAATTATAATGAGTACTCTTTTCTCTTTTTCTTTCTTTCTCTCTTCCATATATTTTTTTTTTTTGGAAAAATCCATATCATCATTGCTAGCCAGCTACTGAGGAAAACTGTAACATGTATCAACAAGGGTTTTGATATAGGGTTTTACTGGATAGTTTATTTATTGAAGATTGTATTCTTTTGTTTTGAAATATCTCTTATACTTCTTAATAATGTATGTTCAATTGAATTTGTTCATAAAAACTGTTCTTTCACTGATAACAGGAAAAAAAAAAAAAAACTATCTCACAATTTGAATTTTAAAACTTTCAACTTAGAGTTTTAAGCTCTTACCAATTGAGAGACACTTTAGAAAATATTTGGCCCAACTAATAAGTAGCTAGCCATAACTTTTTTCATCCAAATATAATTGCACAAAAATTTACTTTAATTGGATTGCATTATTATTATTATTATTATTATTATTATTTTACATATATAAGAAGGGTTAGTCTAATCCTAGACAATAAAATAAAACTTTAGGGTTACATTTGAATTGGTTTACAAAGATCAATAAACCAGATAACTACCCTCCTTGAATCAGACACTTTAACACATAAACATAAAAAGGAAAAAGCTTATATTGATTTTGGCTTTTATTTTTTATTTTTTATTTTTTATTTTTATGAGAATGTGTGACTCATTAAAAGACTCTATATTTCTTAAGAATTGAAATGAAATATGGTGATCATCATCGAAGAAAAATATATATAATTTTTTTTGGGTGTAATATAGCTAAATGATGAAACCAAACATGACTAATTGTTGTCCTGATCTCTTTATATATCTATTTTAGGTTCTCAAAAATAATTCGGGGTGATTCTCCCCTTCCATTCAACTTTAATATACTTAATTTTAAAGTTGAAGTGTTTAAATTTTATTTTTTAATTTTTCTTTTTAAGATGTCATTTAATGCACTTATTCTTATTTTATTGTTATTTTAAAAAGATAATTAGAACATATATTAAATAAAAAGTTTTATCTAAATGGTGATTAATTAGGGATAAATATGAAATTTTATCAATTAATAGGTGTCAGTTTGTATTGCAATTAGGTGGAAAAATATCCCAAAGCTAAGTTGTTTTAATAAAATCCTATTGGAAAAGACTAAAACATCTTAATTATTTTTAAAGTAAA